GCTTTAAACATGGCGTACTAAAATGAAAAGTAATCTCTTACCTGTAAATTCGTAGTTCAGTTTTCCATTGTCCTCAAAATCATAGTCTGTGGAATTTGTAGTAATATCTCCTGAAAATGTACAGTTAAATGTTAAGAAAATAACAACCGGTTTCGAAAGAACGATGTAAAATAACCAATGTAAACCACGGTCCTGTAGGTTAGGTAATAATGGTGTTTAATTTGCTGTTGCATACATTACGACGGTAGCCGCAAAATAGCGAGTAACGTTTGTTTGGTAGACACGCTTTAACTACCAAATTGCAATCTGTCTTTTTTTTTTATAATATTATAATGTTTGAGCCACCCACCTGTAATTGGATCGATGGAGAAATCGGAGCTACTAGTATAGTAGCTAACGTTGGCGTTAATTCCATCATCGTCATCCGTCGCCCTCACAGTCAGTACATAGCTATCCAATTGTGCAGATTCCTCTATACTTCCTATATATAAGTCAGAACTAAATACTGGACTATTATCATTAATATCTAGTATATCTATAATGACTACTGTGTACGATTCTAATATTGGATTTCCAGTGTCATAAGCTGAAATGTTTATGACGTATGATGGTATAGATTCACGATCTAATATTCCAGTAACGAATAAATCACCAGAATATGTGTCAATGTCGAAATCACCATGACTACCATCCACCGTAGAATATAATACACGACCGTTCAGCCCTATGTCATAATCCTCGGCTATTAGCGTGCCTATGACGTAATTAACAGGTGTATCTTCATCCAGTTCAAATTCATATGATGTCTCATTAAATTCCGGTGTGTTATCATTGACGTCACTGATATAGATAACAATAGATATGGTAGTATTGAGGTTATCAACATCACCGCCCATATCAGCTGCTGTAACCGTGAGCTCGTACGTATCTTGAATTTCGCGGTCCAAATCAAGAACATTTTCATTATCGGCAGTTGTAATGATGCCAGTTATTTCATCGATTTGGAATTGGTCACTCCCATCGCCAGACAGTGAATAGACTACTGCAGCATTTAGATCAATATCGGCGTCAGTTGCTTCTATGAGTGGCATCTACAATATTCACAATAATTATAAGTGTAACATAGGCACACATCGTGACGATACTTGTGATGTACTTGTTAGCATATGACCATGGATGAAGACTGTTTCGTACATGCTTACACACAATTATTCGAGAAAACAAATGACAATTAAGATCAACTGTTCCGAATTTTGTTACAGTATTTGTTTTTAAGAATTGCCCAACTATCTGCACAATGGAACATTGTAAAATATGTGCGATTGCAACCTTTCAAGATAAATGCGACAACATTATTTAATTGCAAAAAAATGTTAAGCAATAACAAAAATACTTAAATATCTTACCATGTGTACTGTTGTATTTGGTGGTGAGTTCTCGGCAATAGATCCTGATGACGTATTATACCTAAATTCAGGATAGTTGTCATTCGTGTCCAATATATGAATGATGAGCTCCTCGGCAATCTGAACGCAGAAATTAAAAATGTTAAATAGCGCGGTAAAAACTGCAAAATATATATCGTTACGAAACTCAGAAGCAAGTGATGTGAATCGGAATTATATGCTTAGTTTCCTTAATCACGAACTCAGTTTTGTATTGTGGTAACTAACGTAAGATAATTGATTTGTACGAAGCGACCGCCCATTTCTAGAAATTCATGGTCGAATATTTACGGGGAAAAATCGGTGTTACATTAGACATATATACTTAGAGGAGTATCTGTATTTGTTTTATTACAACAAAGTGGGATCAAGTATGACAAGATGGCAGATATTCATGATGAAATTCGGATTAAAAAACGCGTGACATGGGGACTAGCAAGAGAGACCAGTAGCTTAAACGCCATTTGTAGTTGCTGACACATCTGAGATTAATGGTATCCCGTTAATTTAAAGTCATACATTTATTTGTATTCCTCAGAATCACAATTGAAAAACGTTAGAGTTTATAGTGAGTAACACGAGTAATTGTGATGTTTCGAGTGTAGCAGCAGCGCTTATGGTTCGCATCTCCAAACCTACAGAAGTGCTTGTCACTGAAATGTCACTAATATGCATCCGAACAAACTGCTCCTTCACAATAACCATATAAAAAAACACGCCCAGAACAATGGTTCACGTGCTCAGTACTGCTATAGGTACAGTAACTACACTTTAACATACTAGCGCTATTAAACTTTTCTAAATAAGAAAATATAAGTGTAAACAATAATGAAAAACATAATTACCGGATTAATGAAGCACTTTGTCGTATCTGTCATATGTCCGATGATCACCAAATGATACATACTGTTAACTTCTCTGTCCAATTGTACAGTTGTTGTAACATTTCTCTGAAATTAATAGTACGAAACATGCAATAGAGGAAGACGAACATGAACCAGAATACGATATCAGGCTAGTCTAGTACCCATTAGGTTTACTCGTTTTGCGATAACATGTTAACAGACGCCATAACTACTTTGTTCACACACTATATATGACAGGATGGATATAGATGGTATAAATCTTCCGCAATATTAATCGTTTTATTTTATATCAATGTGTATAACTGACACTGGTACTTGTAGTATTCATATTTATATCAATATAGACTATTGCATGCTGGGCAATCATTTCATTTGGTTTTATAATTGTTCGTTGGCTAAAGGACTATGCGTGCTTTTGTTTAGTACTAAAGTATAAAGCTTACTTTATGACGTCACTACTTACAGAGATTGGATCAATTTGAAACAATTCATTGGTTCCAGCAACTTCGAATATCACTTCATAGTCGTCACTTGTTTCGGATTGGATTGTTGTGATGTATGTTCCATTTGGCTGATTCTCGTATACGAATCCTGACTGCAAAGTAATGTTTTCAAAGCCGTCCTCGACTTGACTAGTTATTTTAATAGTTATTTTTGCAGTGTTAGCGGCTTTTTTGGGCTCCGAACCATTATCTTCTGCCGAAACTTGAACTGTGATCTCGTTCTCGTCAAAATTTAAGCCTATTCTTCCGTCGTTTTGAAAATCGGACAACCGAAGTTGATTTTTGTTGTATACTACATTGTTGTCTGTCGCAAAATAGTCATCGAATGGCGGCTCCACCACATATGTTATTTCACCGTTTTCAGCCAAGTCATCATCCGTAGCATATAGAACTGCAATTGTAGTCGCGGCAACTGTCCCGTCAATCCATTCCGCATAGTATTGGATAGTACTCCATGCTGGAGTCTCATCATTAAGATCAATTAAATTGACTTGAACAGGTATTGATTTTTCAAATTGACAACCGATTACTGTAACAGTAAAGGCGTATGTACCCATTACCTCCCTGTCTAACATTTTTAGTTGGGTGATAACCCCATTTGAGTCAACTGTAAAGGCTGTGCTAGCATCCCCATCGAATATTGTGTAGTTAACAATAGCTCCATTCGGGACTTCACCTCTGATGTCTCCTACATCTGGTGCGATAGAATTTGGAATTCCTTCGAAATGATTAAATATATACAAATTGCTTCCACAATGATTCGCGGCATCTATTGGTTGACAACCTGAATTTGAAAACAACAATTTATCAACAGTTTGATCGGACTATTGAGACATATTCTGGGATTTGCATACGACTTCTCACACCAACGCAATCGAAGATTAATGACATAGAATGTTCTACTCTACATCGGTAAGTTAGGTTACCTGATGTTGTCGTTGGTTCTGGTTCTGTTGTTTCACAACTAGTTTGCATATCTAAAACGACCAGAAAACATGTTAATTAATGCACATTAGATAATAAGTATTTCTGCAAATATATATATAGGTTTTTTAGTTATAGATACACCTAGATGTTACATTGGTTGCCTAATTTAGAGACATAGGTAAGTTAGGTTACCTGATGTTGTCGTTGGTTCTGGTTCTGTTTGACAACTAATTTGCATATCTAAAACGACCAGAAAACATGTGAATTAATGCACATTAGATAATAAATATTTCTGCAAATATATATAGGTTTTTAGTTATAGATAGCCCTGGATGTTACATTGGTTGCCTAATTTAAATAAATTTCGTGAATGTGGGGGGGGGGGGATAATGTATAGAGGAAAACCATAAAAGGTGTTGCGAGAGGTGACGGCGCCAGTGCAACTGTATTAGAGTAAGGTTACCCAACATTGTGTACTCATATTATAAAGATTTCAAATCTGCACTTTCAAATAATTAATTTAAAAATTCAATTTGAGACAAATATGTATTTGAAACGCTTTGAATCGAAAAAATATTAGCCTCCGCCGCTCAATCAAGACAGATAGACAATTCAGGACAAACTGCATGTGCTGAAATAGGCCGCAAAGTAGTAAAATGTCGGTAGAATTCAAATTTGTATTGTTCGGTATCACTCACAGCTGAATTTAACGCCACGGATTCGCTTGTTGCGACCCGAAGAGCGTCGTAAAGATGATGCTAGTTCGCCATCTTGGATTTTCCGTAATTTTTTTCTGAAGACACGTCCCTTCAAGCATTGCGACAATCATTTCGTAGTTCTACTTTGCGCAAACTCACTGAAGACATAAAATCGAAATATCAATCGCAAAGGTCGTGACTATCTTTTACATATACAATTCCTGTGTCTCACATAGCGATTACAAATACTTTGACCTGTCGATACAAACATTTCAAAGATACAATGTGATTTTATTCTCAAGATTAAAAGATATTATGATTTTATTTTGCCCTAACGACCGTGTTAAAACTGCACGAGTAGTGTTCTAAAGGTTGTTGATTTGTTTTAAGTTTTGCAGGAATAAAGAAAATGTGTTACGTACCTGGAATAAATACCAATAGGAGAGTTACTAGAACTTTTAAGATCGAGAATTCGAATAACTGCACCATGTTGAAATACGCGTAACATGCCCTACAATAAACGTGATATAAATAAGTTTAAGTTTTAAGCTGAGCTATATGCCAACGAAATAAAACATTGATGACAAATTTGTCTGAAAAGAGTATAAATGCGCGTATTTTGTGTGGGTTTCTTGAATATGAAGGTTAGCGATCTAATTAGGTATGAAGCTAAATCTAACAAGAACTGGGGTATTTTGAATGCACTAGCCACATGTTTCTTTCATTTCAAACATTGCATATTTAGTTTTTTTGTGAACAGAAGACTTTACAAATATGTTGGAATGCTGTACTTTTAATTTGCTAATACCGTTAACGTACTAACATAGATTTGAGATGGTCGTTCGAAATCCCATCGCAGTTTTTCCTTTTGTGTTGTTACATAACTTATTGTGTATAAAAGGTTGTGTATAAAAGGGCAATGCTCTGACCAAAAAGTTTTATCTTTCTGTAAAACAAATGAGATTGTGAAGCATAGCAAAGCTTGGCCAGTGGTATGATGGATATTGACAGTCTAGTCCATACATGCCGCTGAGCCGTAACGATAAACTATAAAAAAATTCTAATCCAAGTTTCAAATAATAATTCATAAACTTTTAATTTAATAAATGACCACATTATAAACAGATGCACATCAATTTGAAATAAACATATTAGATGAACACACAGATATACGCGAACTATAGATGAAAATTGAGTACCTACACATGTGCGTATCACACCTGATACACACGTTTCACGGTAAGCCACTTGTTGCCTTCCACTACAGATCACCTTCTTAGCTCATTGAATATTGTGGGTTTGAATGCAACCTCTTCAAAAAATAAAGAGAAAGTTGTTCTCTTCACTCTCAATATACTAGAACAGCCTCGTCCTAAAGCTAGTTCGTTTACAAATAAAGTATAACCAAAGAACTGTGAATTTAAACTCAATCAATTTAAATGTATATTTAACATCATTCAATTATTTGTAATGTAGTTATTTTACTACCTACCTACTTTTTTACTGTGGTGTAATACATTTAAGTAAAATTAGCCTAGTCAGTTACATGTGAACCCGTAGTTTAACTTGAATATCGAAAACAGTTTGCAGTTATATGTTGTTTGTAATCATAATATGTAAAGTCTATTGCCATCCTAATTATTGTTAAAACAACAGTTTGTGAATAATGATGTTAGATTTTGTTGCATATATTCTTGAAACGTACCACGCAGGCAAACACATGACGCCTAATATAAATTAAGTCTTCAAAATGTCATTTCACTGTATCACATCGCGAAAACAAAATGTCACTTCACATGTCAGGGATGAACAATAATGTCGAGTCATACAATATAAAAATATACAATTAATAACTTATACTTGGCACAGAGATCCATTACTAGAAATGAAAGATACTTTATGGAAGGCTATTGTTTTCTACTGGAGTAGACCGAGTTAAAAATGTAGGGTTAATGATTGTCTCGTTTGTGGTTTTTTGTTCTCAGTTTCAAACTTATGCAGAATGGTTATGGTAGACTAACTGGTAAAACTGATTGAGGGCGCACTTGAAGTACATAATTATAAGTCGTATTACAGACGTTGGCCGATGCCGAATGATTAATGTACTACAATACCCATGCATATTTACACTACCATTACGCAGATCCAGCTAACCAGCGACAATCCAAACGTAGGTGGCTTCTCTAAAAATCTACGGTGTTATTTGCCCTAAATATATTGTCAAGTTATTGTTGAATTTTAATATGTTGAGTGAAGTCGCCAAAACTTCTATGTTATTGCAGAATCAACACATTAAAATATATCGAGCAAGTGAAAGTGAACACGTGTCTATTTTTCCCTGGAGAAAATGTTTGAAGTGTAAAAAAAATATAAATTCAGAAATGAGCATATCACTAAAATATTAATTGTCAATAATTATAACAATTAAATATTTACACAAAAGTAATTTTATTCGATCCATATATTCAATCTGTGAAAAAGACGACATCTTTTTTCTTTCCGTAAGTTCTTCTTTCGCGATAGCACATAACATTCATATTAGAATTTTCTTGAATATTTAGATGGTTTATCAAAAGTTCTAGTATGTGTGGTGTTTTATTAAGTGTTTGTAGTTAATACACGCTAAGTAATGACTTTTGATTAGCAAAGGTTTCATCCATCAAGTTGCTGAATATAGCAATATTAAAGCGGGAGGATTGTCACCTGCGCACGCGCAGGAATTGAGTCCCAAACGACGATAACAACACACGCTAAAAACTCGAAGGCTCATGGGTAGACGCTTGTTTGTAAACAATGACATGCTATGGCCATCTGAGGCATGCGCAGATGACGACTCCCCCGCTTTAAGTTGCTATGTAAAAATAGCACAGTTTTTACAATCAAACAGAATTTAAATAAGCAGTTTATATTGAGAACATTTTTTTCAGAAAGTATACTCATGCTGTATAACTGACTGAAAATTTGTTTGAAAAAAAATCTTACAAAATCCAAGTTGACATCAGTTTTGACTTGTTTTTTCACCGTGTGTATAAAAATCATAGCAAAATGCCATCTTAGTTTTAAAAGGTTGACTTAAAATAATAAAATAAATAAAATGATTGCTTATATCAACTCAGCGTCTACTTCATCATACACATAAACTATATGACCGTCAACTTAAACAATCCACTCTTTACCTGCTTTCATGTGAAAACACAAACATTATTATTTTTTAAGCGGGTCATTGTTTACAAACAAGCGTCTACCCATGAGCCTTTGCGTTTTTAACATGTGTTGTTATTATCGCTTGGGACTCAATTCCCGCGCGTGACGACCCTCACGCTTTAATACGTTGAAGAAGATTGAAAATCAACCTACAAGCGGTGAGATCGATTCTTGTATTTGCTGTGTCTTTGTTTTACCGTAATTGCATTGAGTGACGTTATTGCAATGAGGTCGTTATTTCAATAAGTTTATTGACTGGCTTACGTGCCAACTAGCTGGTAATCACAATATGACCTCTAAAGCAGGGGTACTACGCAATTGATTACTATATCCCCATATATTACCCTTTACCTGCAATTTATTGCGAAATACACCGTTTATATGCAATATAATGATAATATACTTGACATCAATTGTATTTTTCAATTCACGAATTCTGTGACAAAATCAGTCAGTTCTCAATTAACACATGTGACAGTTCAGTTTCAGTTGCCACGTGTGACAATCATTCACACTATTATACTCATTATACTAACAAACATGAACTGTTTATCTTCACTTAGTCATCTTAGAATCATTCAATTCCTACCATCACGTGGATAACATAATGCCAACCATACACTACTCCTGTACTCCTATTCCAGCTCATGATTGCTTATGGCAAAATGGAATTGGCTCAAATGGTCAGTATTAAAAAGGGAGGGTCGTCACCTGCGCACGCGCGGGAATTGGGTCCCGAGCGACGATAACAACACATGCTTAAAACGCAGACTTATGGGTAGAAGTGTGTTTGTAAACAATGACACGCTATGGCAATCTGGCGCATGTGCCCCGCTTTAAATTCAATTTTTTACCCTAGTGACTAAAGATTAACGCGTTGTTTAGTTGTTTTTGGACAAGTTGGGTTCAAATATACTATTACTGGGTGGTTTTAGCCTTCATAATTTCAATAAATCCCGTCATTGGTTATATTAAGAACACACTCTTAAATAATAAATACCTGTATTGCGTTCTATCCGTATGAAGTGCATTTGTTTGTATCCAACACTCAATATATATTTTTAACAATAACCCTTCCATTGAACTAGGCTAATATCTATTTAGATATATGGAAGTAATGTGTCATGATGTGCAGGTATTGCGATTACTTTTACTAGTAATTCTTATAAACATTAATGACCAATTCCAATAAGTAAAATAATGTTTTTCGATCAGGAATGTTGCACCCGACCAATACTGATACTGCTTTTAGAAATACAACAACCTCCAGCTGTAAGTCAGTATAGTAATTTTTTATATACTTGACAACGAAAACAGAATGCAAACCAATCCAAATAAATGTTAAATAAATTTGTTATTTTTCTACCATTGCTGTTAAATATGTAAAATATGGTCTATGGTTGCACTGTTGTAATGTAATGTTATTACAGTAGAGTCAATCCATTGGAATGACTTGTCCGTAGTGTAACCATTAAAATAATTGTACAAACAAACGAACACACACTTGTTTCAATGTGAAACATTTTATTCAACCTGGAAATTACGGCAATCACCTTGGCGCTGCAGACCGACGCTACCTACCACGAAGTCTTTCTTCGCCAAAAAAAAAACTCAGTTCGAAATGGCACTACGGCACAGTGACTAGATGATAATCACAGCACAAGCATTCATAATTTAAGAGTATGACCTAGATACAATCACGTACTATAGGGCGAAGTTTAAAACCTTATCAATTATTGCCAAATGTTACAACTGCATTCTAAATTATACTTTTGCATTTTATTACCTGATCATGCTTTAGTCTTAGCAATTTCGAACCTAATTTGAGTTGTTGTGTATGTAAGGGGCGGGTCGTTTATTGTTTTGGGTACACTCAGGACAAAAATAAATAGGGGCAAAATGTTGAAAATAATCCATATGACGATTACCATATTGGTAAATTGATTTTGCCTGAAGTAACATACTTTCAGAAATTAATTTTCTTAGTTTAAGAAATAAAAATGCCATGCAAGTTATTTTTCAGCCTCACACACCGCTATGTTTTGCACTCAAACAGTGTGCAAATCATTATTTCTGTTAACTATACGAACTGAGCACGCCACTATCGCGTGAAAAAGATAATGTGATACGCTTGGTTGGGTCCAAGTTCTTTTTAAATCTTCCATAGAAGATATACACTTGATTGTTAACAAACTTGAAGAGAGCGATGGACATTTCTGTGATTATTAAAAAAAAACATGTTATAATTACACTAAACTATAATGCATTTAATTGCAAAAACTGCA